ATGTATGTATAAAGAATACAAAGGCTGACAAATCTCTTAAATGAAAAATGTTGAAAGCTAAGGAATTGTATTTTTATAAGATTATTTTGAATATTAAGGGACCAACACATCTCGAGTTGGAACAAAATGTTTACTTTATGAAGCAGCCCTGCTTCTTGTAACAACCGTCTATAAACATTTAAGAACTGAGAAGATCAGATGTTAAGAAGCTTTTAGGGGAATGTTGTCCCATTCTTGTCTGATGTAGGATTCAACTTCTTTGATGGGAAATTTGTTGTACAGTAGTCCCTCGTTTATCGTGGGTGATCTGTACCCTGAAACCCGCGATAAGTGAAAAACCGCAAAGTAGAAATAGTAGTACAAGTAGTAAGTAGTAGTTTATTTTAATATATATATATATATATATCTTGCAATATTCTAAACAATGTTTCTAAACTCTAAACGCTCTAAAAGAGCACAGAATGTCATGATTTCAGTTCCCTGCCTCCTCTGCTCTTAGCCACGCCCACTTCTCTGCTCTGCACGGTGAACAGCTGATCAGCTGCAGCAGGAAGTTTATCTTGCAGTATGGGCTGCACAAAGGTGCAGGAGGTGCTAAATAATTTTAAACAATTCATTTTAAATAAAAACTCCATGCCGATCGTGCAGCTCATCCATTAATCAGCCAATTAATTGCGTGTCATGTCCAATCTTATTTTGAAAAACCGCGATAGAGCGAGTCCGCGACAAACGAACCGCAAAGTAGCGAGGGACTACTGTAATGGTATAAAATGTCCTAAAACTTAATACTTTTTTTGCACTGAAAGCGCCTTTAGAAATATGTAAGCTGCTCATGCAAGAGAGCACTTATGCACCCACATACCAACAGAGAGGCAGGCTTTTGAACTTTGTAATGGGTAGGATGGTCCCTCTTCACTTTAATAAATGGTTTTTAGCAAAAATGAAATTTTTAGAATAGTTTTCCACTTTGCGTCCGTCCAAATGAACTTTGGCTCAGAGAAGACAAGAGCCTTTGTGAAAATGTTCACTTATTGCTTTTTTTTTTTTTTTTTGCATGATAGAGCTTTAACATGTATTGGTGGACGTCACGGTGAACTGTGTTTCCAGACACTGATTTGTGGAAGTGTTCCTGAGCCCGTGCAGTGATGACCAGAACAGAACCAGAACTGTTTGTATTGTAGAGACACCAGAGGGTCTAAAGATCACAGACCTCCATTATTGACTTTCAGTTTTGTCCTTTTAGTCAGAGATTTCTCCAGATACTTGAAATATTCTGGTAATATTATAAACTGTCGTTGATGGGATATTCATTTTTCTAACTTTCTGTTGAGACACACTATTTTGAAATGTATAAACCATTTAAGCTAATTTGATGCAAAATGGTCCTCCAGCTGTTTTTTTTTTAAATGTACCACCTAATTTTACAACCTTTTGCTGCCCCATTACATTTTTTCAGATGTTTTGTTGACACAAAAATCTAAATTATGTTAGTTTTTTCTAAAACTCGTAAAAAATTTGTTTAAAACTGTGATATGTTTATGATATTGTGAGAAAATATTAGAATGCATTGATTTGCAAGTCTCATACAGTTTTTATATTCATTTAGCACAATGTCTTACTTGTTTTGGATTTGGGGTTGTATAAAAATGACCTTGCAGATTCCTCTGATAAAATGTAATAAGTTTTGCAGATTATTTTTTTAAATCAAGCAACGTTTTGTAGGTTTTGAGTGCAACAACCTTCTGCTTTGGCCTCCTTTTAAATAAAAAACAAAAACAGGGTTTTCAGTCCTTGTTTCTCACCCGAATGACCTCAACAAAAACTTCAATTTATTACATCGACATTGTTGATCTGACTGGCTGAACGTGGCCCGAAATAAACACTGACAGATGTTTTAACCAATCATCTGCTGGTTTGAGTGGTTTCCTCCGACTGAATGAGAAAGTCTCCAGTGTTCAGGAACATCTTTACAACTTTAGGTGAATTAGTTGGTCTGTTGTTGACGCAGTATCTCACAATGTTTCTGTTTGGATTTGATACCTAATAAACTGAAGCAACGAAAGTCTTGGAAATACGTCTGAGAGGAGCACGACAGCGTAACATTCGTGTTTTAAATCCAAGACGTGTTTTATTCCTGCAAATCAATGAATCCGAATATGAAAAACTAGAAGTAACGAACTGAATGTTTTACTTATAATATTCACAATGAGTGTTTTTTCTTATATTTTTAGGTTTTAACCAGACTTTGATCATATTTCAGACAGAGTTTACGTGAAATGTGAGATACCGGTTCATGTTTGTGTATAAATAACTCCTATATTTGATATTTCTTATAATCCCAGTGTACAAATTATTGCGTGAATGTTTATGAAGCATTCACTCTGTTGTGATCCATTTCTTTCATTCGTTTGTCATCTTTCTCGTTCCACAGTTTTTCTGCTACTTCAACAAATCATAAATCAAAATGTTCAGCTCTTTCAGGACAATCCTGCTGTGACTTTTGGTGTTGATGCAACTTTAGCTTTTTGAAGTATTTAGCCTTTTCTGACACTTTTTTTCTCTCGTAGAAAATGAATTGAGCTCATTTTACATCCTTTAAATCTTTAGATCTGTTTACCTTTTACCGCACCTTTCACATTTTGTTCTGCTTCAGCTTCTTTCAGCTTCCTTGTGCAAATTTGAACTACCTGTAGCTAAAAGACAAACTGTCACATCATTGACTTTTTAGAATTTTTTTCAGCTATTTTCAGCTAATTTCAGCTGTTTTGTACTCCTTTCAGATTCGTTCTGCTAACTACAACATTTTTTGCTTCTTCTAACATTTATCTGCCAATTTCAGCTTGTTTTGCTCCTTTCAGCTTATTTCTGCATTTCAGTTTTTTTCTAATATTTCAGCTACTTTAAAGCTGTTTAATGCTGTTTAGCCTTTTCAGCTAATTCCACAGTAATGACACTCATTTCAACTAATTCCAGCCTAATTCAGCAAAGCAATGTGCTCTCTCCACTTTCTTCTTCTTGAAGCTTCTTTCTGCTCTTTTAGCTACTTTTCAGCTGTTTTTTGTTGTTGTTGCTATTTCAGCTTTTTTTTATATAGATAATTTCCCTTTTTTTGTGCTGATTTCTGCTTATTTCAGCCTAATTGGGCAAACAAGTGCTCTGTCCACTTGCTTCTGCTAATTTAAGCTTGTTCTACCTTTTCAGCTACCATTTTAGTATTTTTAGATAAGTAGAGCTGTTTTCTGATAAATTCAAGATTTTGTGGTAATTTCTGCTACATTCAGCCTACATGTAATTAACTTCTTTATGCTAATTTCAGCTAGTTATGCCCCTTCAGCTTTTTTCTTCTAGTTTCAGCTACTATTTAGCTGTTTTGTGCTAAAGTCTGCTTTTTTCAGCTAATTCCACTTTTTTTTTTTTGTACATCATTTCAGCTCGTTTCAATTCTTTCTGGTAGTTTAAGCTTCTTTCTGCATTTTCAGCAAGTTTTTTTGTGCTAATTCAGCTTTTTAGCTACCATACTTTCTTATTATTTTTTTTAGCTCATTTCTGCTTATTCAAACCCAATTCAGCAAATATGTGTTCTTTCTGCTTTTTCTGCTCACTAATACTTGTTCTTCCATTTCAGCTTCAGCATGTTTTTAGCTCATTTCAGCTGTTTTTCAGCAAGTTCTTCATCAACAAGCATTCATACTGCATTTTTGCAGGAAATGCATTTTCTCTTGTACAAACAGATGATTGGATTTTTGGAGTGTATTGATTTTGCTTTGCACATTTTAAAATCCCACTCTTCTCTCAGAAACCTGGAGCAGGATGCATCTGGATTAAACCAGACCTGCACGAGAAATGAGGATTACCTTCGCATGAGACTTTGATACTGTTGAATGCAAACAGGTTCATGAAGGTTTTCTGCTAGTAAAGGACACAGTAACTGAGATAATTGGAAATTATTAAACAACGGTGCACAAATGATAAGAAAAAGGATTTTTTATGGTATAAAAGGCCATGAAAAGTGTCGAGCATCATATCTGAAATACGATCAAAACTCAGATAAGACACAAAACCTAATGTGCATGTAAATCCGCTGATTGTCTGGTCACGTTTAATTTAAAGTTGGGTAAAATGTGTACAGCGTGCGGGGAATAAAATTAATTTCTTGTGATTTGTTGCTGTACCTTTGAGGATTGCTTACCCAGCTTGGCATCGATTTTCCTTTCCTCTCCAAAAAGCCAGCGGTGTTGGCTTTAAATATTTATTTAACCTAAACTTGTGTCACGCCGCCACTCACTCCCACTCATTCTGTAAATTGTCTGTGCGATATAAGAAGCGACGTCTAAAATTATCTGCTGGAAATGGGGAAAAAAAAAAAAAATCTATAAAGAGAAGGAGCAGAAGGTAGAA